ATGTCCTTATTAATTTTGATTTGCGTTTAAAGAAAGAATTCTTTAGCTCACATGAATTTCTTCCTCTGTACAAATTGTAATCACACCATTTTACTTTCTAAATTAATCCAATTTTACTTCCTAAATTAATCTGAGAACACGAGAATCTTTTTTTAAAATGATGGGAGTAAATTTAATGGAAAAATAGCATAACCCTGAAGGGAGTATAAATTTAATGGAAAAATAGCATAACCCTCCATCATTTCTCCTGCTTTCTCTCTCCCACCTCACCCAACCAAAAGTCCAAGATAGCTTTTGATGTGAACTTTATTTATTGTGTTGTTGTTTTACCCTATTCACTATCAGATAAGCCAAACCAAATTAAAAGAAAGCAACAACAAAAAAAGATGCTAACTCCGTGCAGGAGAGTGAGAAAGTGTGCGTGTGGGTACGCGTGTTTGAATGATGTTTTTACTTTTTTTTACTGAACTTGAATGACGTTTGACGAATTTTTAAGCATTTAAACCATGAAAATATGGTGGGCGTCCCCGTCCAATGACGCAACGAAACACATCTTCTTGTTTATTGTTATCAAAACCCCATTTGTATACTACAGTTATGCACAAATATTTTGATGTTTTACACCGATACAAGTGTTGGTGCGTTAACAAAAATTTACACGGACACAAAGTGTTGGTGCGTTATCAAAAATTAGTTTTACATCAACACAAAATGATTTACACGGACACAAAGTGTCGGTGCGTTAACAAAAATTAGTTTTACATCAACACAAAATGTTGGTGCAAACCTACAGGGTACAAATTGGGGTACAAATGTTGGGGTACACATAGCTTAATCCTATCAAAAATTCTTTTTCTATGTCGCGGGCTTGGCTATCCAACGCACCCGCAAAAAAGCGAATCCATGTTTTAGATTTGGATTATGCTATGTGTACCCCAAGATTTGTACCCCAATTTGTACCCCGCAGTTTTGCACCAACATTTTGTGTTGGTGTAAAACTAATTTTTGTTAAACGCACCGACATTTGTGTCCGTGTGAATTTTTATTAACGCACCAACACTTGTGTCGGTGTAAACCATTGAAATGTTTGTGCAAACCTGTGGTGTACAAATGGGGTATATTTGTTGGTGTAAGTGTAGCATCGTCCTTTAGATTTTGAGGTACTATGTCGGCCCGTCTGGTATTGAGAGGCCCGCAACTTTAAGGTCCTAGTTCGGACTTTATGTACTCCGTATAAGCTTGCTGGCCGACTCCACCAATTAATAATACTCCTTGCTTGAATTTTCATATAATTTTAATATGTGAAATTTGCTCCAAGTGGTACCAAAACTTAACACTTTTCTCTAAATATTACCAAATCAACTTTTTTCCTAAACTAACATTAAATTTATTAATTACTTATTTATTAATAATATTCATTTTACTAAAACACCTTTGTATCTTAATTATTTTCTACTCCATATAAAACATAGACTATATTTTTTTCTCCCTTTGATCAATTCTCTCTTTCCTTGATTCGTCTGCTTATATTTTCAATTTTATGCACATTATCAAAAATATGGATATTGTTCACTGATCCAGGGCATTGTAAAAATTAAGGAAATAGGACATTGTAAAAATTATGAACATTGTTTATTAATCGAAGACATTGATGACTAATGCATATAGGGGTGTAAACGGATATTAATCGGATCGGATGTGCCATTACCAAATCCGTATCCGTTTATTTTTTTCGGATATCGAATTCGGATGCGGATCTTGACGGATATTGAAAATCAAAACCGTATCTGCATCCGTCGGATATCGGTCGGATATCGGATATATCTGTATCCGTTTCTAATTTTTAAAATCAAATTAAACCATACTTTAATTTTAAATTATATTAAATTCAAACTATTATTAAATCAACTATAATTTGTTATGGGATAACTATTTTCTTTGTTTTCATAATTTATGATATTCTACGATAACTTCATATGATAAAAAGAAATACACAGCACACATATACACATATTTTAATATGTCTGCACATATTATTATGTGTCTACGCATTTGTTTTGTTAATAAAAAATTCTTATACTCTGAAATATAAATAGAGAAACAAAGTATAAACATAAAAAATAGGAAAAACTATATATAACGGATCAGATATTTGGATAAACAGTTATCTAAACGTATGCGTATACGGATCGGATTTTAAACGAATCGGATATACAATTACCAAATCCGTATCCGTTCAGTAATCGGATATCCTTAATCAGATACGGATAATATCCATTTAGAATAGATGCGGATATATCCTCTTTAAACGAATACTGATGCGGACGGTAATCGAATTTTCGACTATCCGTGTACAGCCCTATATATATATATATATATATATATATATATATATATATATATATATATATATATATATATATATATATATATATATATATATATATATATATATATATATATATATATATATATATATATATATATATATATATATGCCAAACTCCACTTCCCTCCGGCTTCCAGCCCTCCATAGTTCGGCGCGCATTGTTAGGGTTTTGCATCCGTTCCCCGCCGCCGCGAATGGCTCGAAAACGCCTATCAGCTTCGTCGGCTCCGGTGCGGAGGAACAAGAGATGTAGGCGGGATGAACAGCCGGAGCCTGTGGAGGAGCAGACTGTGCCGAAGAATTTCGCGCCTGACGAGGATATTTTTGTCGGAGACCGTGTTCTGGACGCCGAAGCTAGGCGGCGATGGCCTCGTTGATATGAAGGGACGAACTTAAACACAAATGGAAGAAGCATCAGTGAGCAGCATGTAGATACAAGAATGGCTAAACGCCATTTCTCTATGGTAAAAGTGGATGGAGAGTTTTATAATCTTCATGATGATGCTTATGTTAAAGGTGAGGAAGGTAAAGACAATTATATTTGTAAAATCGTTGAGATGTTTGAAGATTTAGATGGAATGCGTTATTTCACGACTCAATGGTTCTACCGAGCTAAGGACACTGTTATTAAATCACTTGACAAGTTCATTGAGAGCAAGCGTATTTTCTTATCTGAAGTTAAGGATGATAATCTCATCGATTGCCTTATTCGAAAGTTGAATATAGTTTGCTTTCCTCCCAATGAGAATATCAAGTCTACAGAAAGGATTCCACTTGAGTGTGACTTTTATTGTGATATGATGCATCATGTACCTTATTCAACATTTATAAGTTTTCCACATGCTGAAGCTGTCAGAGAATTGGATTCAATTCTGTCCAGTGAAAGTAGCACCGCAGAAATAAAAGAACATGTATACGAAAACACCCTCCTTGTAACACCCGCTTTCCGTGGACCCGGTTCACCCGCGACCCAACGGACCGGTAGGGTTACATGGGCGGTCCGAGAACCGTCCGTTACATGGGGAATTGATGGGCAATTGAATGGAAATAATGGTGTGTGCATGAGGGGAGAGGAATGGCGTGTGTGGGAGTTACATGGGGAATTAATTGCCTAATTCTATTCTATTATGAAAAATCTGACCTGGACGGTACGTGCTTTCCCCCCGAACTAGTCCAAATTGAGATCCGTTTGTGTTTCCGGAATCAGACAGTCAAAATGAATTTAATGACATGTTCAAATAATTTTTCTAAGACTACATTTTCAAACTTCCGGGTCCATCCCAATCATTAATTAATTTTTTTTTAATTAATGTTGAGAGGTCTGTTATTAAAACATCTTTTATATTAAAATACATTAGCTTTGGAAAGCCATTTAAAGAGATCGAAATCCCAATATTTATTACTTAAAATAATGAGTCTCAATAAATAAATAATATTTATTTATTTAAAACTAGGCCGGTTTGAGGGCGTTACACTCCTTGATTTGTATTCTGGCTGTGGTGCGATGTCCACTGGTTTATGTCTTGGAGCTGCGAACTATGGTGTTAAGCTTGTAACAAATTGGGCAGTGGATTTCAATAGAGAAGCATGTGATAGCTTGAGATGGAATCATCCAGAGACGCAGGTCCGAAATGAAGCTGCTCAGGATTTCTTGTGTCTTCTCAAGGAATGGGAACACCTTTGTGTCTCTTGCTCTTTGATAACACGCCACTCAGAACCACATCCTTGCTTGAATATTTGTAATGAAGAAGAAGAAGAAGAAGAAGGACTACAAGTGATACAGACAATGAAGTATATGAAGTTGAACAAGTATTAGAAGTTTGCTTTGGGGATCCAAAGAAAACTGGAAAGTCTGGATTGCACTTCAAGATACGTTGGAAAGGTTATGGCGAAGCAAATGACACATGGGAACCCATTGAGGGTCTGAGTGGTTGTGAGCAGAAAATGAAGGAGTTCATTGAGAATGGGTTTAAAGCAAATATTTTGCCTTTGCCAGGGAGTGTTGATGTCGTATGTCGTGGCCCACCTTTCCAAGGAATCAGCGGCTTCAATCGTTTTAGGAATAGTGAAAATCCATTGGAGGATCCAAAGAACAAACAACTAGAATTTTTCATGGATATTTTGAATTTCTTGAGGCCTCAGTTTTAGGGGTGGGCGCGGTCCGTGATGGTCCGTGATACTACTGGAACCTATCACGGACTGCTATTATTTAAACGGTTCGGTATCGGTACGGGATGAACTCCAATACCATTCGGTACCATTCCGTTTCGAAACGGAACGGTACAATACCATACCCATGCTCAAACTGTGCCAAAAAAAATGAACGTACATTAATTAAATAATATTGAATTTAATATATATATATTTGTATAAAAAAGCACAAGAATGTTAAATAAAAGTATTGATTTCAAATTTAAACGGATCATAAACATAAAGAATAAAAGATAGCGAGTTCAAAGTTAAAAAATAATATCGGAATACTAATAACTATAAAAAATAATGCCAATAGTAATGATAAATATAATAACAACAATAATAATGAGAGAGTTTAAAAATGAATAATAAAATACGAAGTACCCTATACACGGTAAGATGAAGTAGACAAATACTCCATAATTATTTGAGATACGTACTCCGTATATAGTGTTGGATGGTTCGGTCCGTGATAATCGATTTTAAATATTTGTATCACGGTCCCGTCCCATTTGGTATCGGTTCGCTTTCGGTTCGTGATGAAAAAAAATCAATCCCGTTTGAAAACACTATAAACGGTTCGGTACCATGCTAGTTCGGTTTTTTTGCCCACCCCTACTCGGTTTGTATTGATGGAAAATGTGCAATAAGTCAACTTGTAGGGATGTCGTACCAGGCCCGTCTAGGAATGATGGTGGCTGGATCATATGGGCTTCCACAATTTAGAATGAGAGTCTTTCTGTGGGGTGCACTTCCGGCAGAAAAGTTGCCTCAGTATCCTCTTCCAACACATGATGTTGTTGTGAGAGGTTTTGTTCCTATTGAGTTTGAGTCAAATAATGTGACATATGATGAAGGACATGGTCATAGACTAAAGAAGAAGCTTCTCCAGGGTGACGCAATCTCTGATCTTCCTCATGTAAAGATTAATGAGTCAAGAGATGAAATGGAATATGATGAACAACCTAAGAATGGGTTCCAAAAATACATAAGATTAGGAAGAGATGGGAATCTGGGGCATGTTTTGTATGATCACTGTCCCTTGCAACTAAATGAAGATGATTATACGAGGGTATGTCAGATTCCTAAACAAAAGGGGGCTAACTATAGGAATTTGAAAGGCGTCATTGTCCGTGGCAACAAAGCTGAATTGGATCCAACAATTGAAAGAGTATACTTGCCTTTAGGCAAACCTCTAGTGCCGAATTATGTCTTGTCTTTTACTGGAGGAACTTCCATAGAGCCATTTGGTCGGTTTTGGTGGCATGAAACTGTGCCCACAGTTGTGACGAGGGCTCAGCCTCATAATCGGGCTATTTTACACCCCGAGCAAGATAGGGTTCTTACCGTTCGCGAAAATGCACGGTTGCAAGGTTTCCCAGACTACTATAAACTAAGTGGCTCAATAACAGAAAGGTACAGACAAGTTAGAAACGCTGTAGCTGTGCCAGTAGCAAGGGCCTTGGGGTATTCACTAGCTATGGCAATCAAAGGAGAATCGGATGAAAAAAAACCCTGTGTTTTGTTTACCAGAAGGGTTTGCTGAAGTTTCCTGAGATTCCTCAATGGAAACTGGTGAGTAGGGTGTTTTTATGAGGCAAAATTAATTGCAACACTTTCTTAAATTGATTTAAGAGCCAAATATGTATTATTAATACATGATATTAATAATATATATATTGTGAAGAGAACTTGTACACTGCCATCAAGATACAAGCATATTCATCATCTCCTCTAATGGTCAGGATAGGGAACACTTTTGTGTAAATAATGAAGCCATTTCCCTTTCATTATGCAAGTTTATTCTGCAGAGGTTCAACAATATATATATATATATATATATATATATATATATATATATATATAAATATAAATATAAATATATATATATATATCTATACAAAGCTCACCACACTACACTACAAAGTTCACCAATGGACAATACAAAGCTCACCTAGAAATAAAGTAAAGCTCACCACTTTGAACATCAAAACTCACTTTTTTTAAATTTTAAATATTTAAAATTATTAAAAAATAAAATAGCAACACCAGTCAACCACCAGTCAGCGGCGGTGGTTGCCGGCGACCGGCGGCGGCAGATTCCGGCGACCGGCGGTGGCGGCAGATTCCAGCGACCGGCGGCTGCGGAAGATTCCGGCAACCGGCGGTGTCTAGCGGCGGCAGGTGGCGGTCAAAGGTCTCGGTCAACGGTCAAAATCCAGTCAGCACCTCTTTCTTTGATTTTATTTTTTCAAAAAAAATTCAAAGTGTTGAAAAAATGTAGTGAGCTTTGCCTTACAATTTGGTGAGCTATGTAGTTGTCCTTGGTGAGCTTTGCAGTTGGCAGTGGTGAGCTTTGCGTCATCTGACCGTAGGATGTCATCTCATTGGAGTAAATCCCTATATATATATATATATATATATATATATATATATATATATATATATATATATATATATATATATATATATATATATATATATATATATATATATATATATATGGGATTGACTCTGGTGAGATGACACTTTATGTTAAGATGACATGCTTCAATGAGATGACACAACACACAACACTGCCAATGGAAAGCTCACCAACTGCAATGCAAAGCTCACCAACTACCAATGCAAAGCTCACCACTTTTTTTATATAAAAAAAGTTAAAAAAATAACACCACCACTCAGCCACCACTCAACCACCGCTCAACCACCGGTCCACGGTAATAGTGGGGGTCATCGGTGGTGGCCATAGGTCATGGGCGGTCAAAGTGTAAAGCTCACCAACTATCAATGCAAAGCTCACCAACTGTCAATGGAAAGCTCACCAAGGAACAATGCAAAGCTCACCACTTTTTTAAAAAAAAAGGCTAATAAAGCAAAGCTCACCACACTACACTACAGAGCTCACCCTGAAATAAAGCAAAGCTCACCACTTTGAACTCCAAAACCCACCTTTTTTTTAAATTTAAAAAATTAAAAAATTAATTAAAAATAAAATAACAACACCGGTCAACCACCGGTCTAGGGCAGCGGAGCAGCAGTGGCGGCCGGAGTCCGGCGGCGGCTGTGACCGGATTCCGGCGACGGCGACGGCGGCGGCGGCGACCGGCGGCGGCAGCGACCAGCGACCGGCAGCGGCGGCGGCCGGCGACCGGTGGCAGGCGGCGGTCAATGCTGGTAGTCAACAGTCAAAGTCCAGTCAGCACCCTTTCCTTTGATTGTTTTTTTGGAAAAAAATTCAAAGTGTTGAAAAAATATGGTGAGCTTTGCAGTGACCAGTGGTGAACTTTGTGTCATCTGACCGAAGCATGTCATCTCACCGTAAGGTGTCATCTCACTGGAGTCAATCCCTATATATATATATATATATATATATATATATATATATATATATATATATATATATATATATATATATATATATAATGGGAGATGACTGAGAGAGGGAACTTTGTAAAGGATTACGAAGGAACGTATATCAGCAACGAAGTTCTGGGCAATGGAACTTACCGGTTGTGGACCCCAAGTGAGGGAGACGACCCACACACTTGGAACAACGAGAATTTGATTAAGTTTTATTAGTTGCACATTCCAAGATGTAATGTTATTCCTTTTTATCAATAAAGAGTTGCATCCACACCGATTTCATGTTCTCAAAAAGGTGTGGAAGATCGCTTAGAGCGTCCTCGGAAGAATGTAGGACAACTTCCCAAGTAGTTTCCATAAAGGCATAAAAGGAGCAACCAATGGACTTGCGAGACCCGTTGGTTTACCATAGTGCTTCCAGAATATTGGTCAAGGTATTTTTGTCCAAGGCTAATTGAACGGGACGATGTTGCTGCTCGGCCACCCTAACAAATAAGGGTGGGGCACAAAAATGCCTTAGTCATTAAAGGGATGACGTTGAAGGTGTATTATCTCGAGTTATTAAAGTAAAACACCTGTAAAATAATAACTAAGTCTAATGGGAAACCTACCCCAACATGAGTGGGAAAGTTATCCTAGTCAAAGGAGAAATCCATCAACTAAACCTCTCAAGGTAAATTGGACAAATTCAAATATAGAAAAATTTTGGATAAATTTTATTAAATAACCCTTCAGAGAGGCAATGAAAGGACGAGTGAAACAACACAAGAATAGTTCAAAGGACTTCATGGAGGTACAATAGAAAGGAAAAATTTCTATTACAATTCTTTTCTACTTTGCTTGTTTATCTAAAGCACAGGTTTAAGAAGAATCAAGAAGAAACAAGCTGACCCTCGACCTCCTAAGCGATTGAATGGTAGTTTTGCAGCTACATGTTCAGGAAGTCCTCGTCGATGCTCGGATCTGGCCATGGGAGGGGCGGGCAATACTCCTAGAGGATTATCTTTTAAGGCTTTTTCTACGGGGAACCAGAAGAAGGCCGAAATCTAGTGCAGAACTAGATCTACCGGGGGGACCAAGGAGGAGGAGGCCTCTCCACAACTATCAAACATGACTATCTTCTGTTCCCATGTCAATGTCTTGCTAAGACTCAAATCGGGCTTTGCCCTCAGCTAGTTGGGGAGACCTGGTGCGGCTTTCGCAAGTGCGCTCAGCTTGAGCCTGCTGCCACAATTTGTGTTCCTCCATGAGACGTGATTGTTCCCTCTCCACCTCGTCTACCTCGCCTTAAGGGATGTGATGGGATAAGATGTCCCTATTAACTTCTCGAAAATTATTGAATGGATTGGGAGGAATGTGGGGAGGTCGAACAGAAGGACACCGTGGTGGGGGAGTAACGTTAGGCAAACTCTGAAAGACTTAACCCTCCCCAATTGTTGGAGTTAATTGATCAAGTGGGGGAACTAGTCTCTGAAAAAGACGAAGAGTTAACCCCAAAAAGCTCCAAGGAGTATAGTGAGGAAGTTAGCAAAACCAAAAGGAAGAGGATGCTTATAAAAGAATTTGGGCATGATGGATGTTGTTGAATGCTTTGGCCAAGGGCGGAAGTTGAATCAATTTGAAATGGCCTAGGGTAGGAGTTGGGTCGATCCATGTCGAAGGCTGGACTTGATGTGATTATATTGGACAAGCTATTGGGTTGTTAGTTGGACTAAATAAAAATGAGCCTTACTCGACGTGACTGGGCTATTGGTCAGGCCAATGTTTGGGCCTTAGTCATGAGTTTTGTTGTGCATGTGAGTTGGCAAGTAGACAAGATCTAGCAAGGTGATGATTTTCACACAAATTGCTAAGGGAACTCACACATCCAAGCAAAATAAGCCAAAGGGTGAAATCAAGACATTGAAGATTACCTTCAAAATTCAAAATGTTTTACTACATAAGAATTAATACAAAATGATGTTCGAAAAAAAGAAAGGAGAAGCTAGCTAGGAGGCGCCTCTTTGGTGTTAGGTTCTTGGTCATCCTAAGCTTCATCGTCCTCTGCAGAGGCGGACTCCTCAATCTCCTTCTATGGGACTGGGTCGAAGCTGTTGAAGTCGGCACAAGGAGGGGGACCCTCCAAACTCTCGTGAAAGACTTGTTTGGCTCTAAAGAGTCCCAGATTGAGGGATGAGCTCGCTCATTTGTTCCATGGAGGCATCTTGGAAGCCTTGTGAGGTCTTATAGATCTCGACTGCCTCGTGCCTGACTTCATGCCAGCGACGGGCCATCATTTTCTCCTCCTCTTCGCTGCTAATGAAGATTTCTCTTCTTGTAGTTGGGAGCACTTCTTCTCCCGCTAGGAGTCACAGCATACCAGCTTATATTCTTCCGACTCTCCTCCAAGAACTGATCGGCATAAAGATTGGCCAACCCATTGAGCTCCCGCCTCTCATGGTCTCATAGCTCCTTATATTTCTTGAGGCGCAGGGTGTTGACGACCATCGGTGGGTATGATTCTATGAGCTCAATAAGACCATACAAAAAGTAGACTCATAAGAGAAGGCTCCATATGTAACACCATGAAAATAGACCTATCAGAATTAATTAATTTATAATTAATTAATTATTGAGAAGGACCCAAAAATAAGTGAATTATAAAGTTTATCAATATTTAATGAAAATTATATTATTATGTAGAGTTTGACTGTCTGACCCCAACGGTTCAATTAGATTTCAATTTGGAGAAAGTTGGACTAAAAAGTATACCCCGACTAGAACAAATATTAGTCCCAATCAGGGACTACACACCAAACGGCGCCCTGTTCAATTACGCCAATTCCAAAATCAGCGAAGGATTGAGGAACCAGCTACTCCCTTGGCTTCTTCTCCTTCCTTTTGCTATATAAACACACATAATTCTCCCATTTCTTCCCCATTATTCTTTAATCTTCTTCCTAAGTGTTCCTGAGAGTTTGAGGAGTGTTGTAGTGTTGTCAATTTGGTGTGAAGTCGCCAGAGCTAGCCACAAACCTCGCCGGAAGTTTTGCCGTAAATTTTCCAAAACCTCCCTTAAGCGTCGTGGTAAGCCTGTATATATATCTAATGACTAGAATGTTCATATAGGTCGTTTCTACATTCATAAATGATCATTTGGTTGAGTTTTGTTTTTGACATGCTTGAAGAATTAATAATCATAAATCTTGAACTTGTTAAAACTACGAACTAATGATACCAAAATGACATATGAACCTTGGAAAGCATATCTATATAGTTTAATTGAAGTTTGGTGACTAAAAATGACATTTTCTGAAAATTGGGCCGAGGTTGAAGATTGCACTACTCAAAACTACACGCAGAATGGTAGCCTGATACTGTCCGGACTTTACCTTAGTACCGCCCGACCGGTAGGCCATACCGTGGGAACACTAGGCTGGCTACCGTCTCCACCGTGGAAAGTTATTCTCTCTGCAGGGTACGTAATACCAAACGGTACCCCGTATTATTTGGGCGATAACGAGGTATCGTACCGCAGTACCAAGGTATCGTACCGCGATACCAAGGTATCGTACCGCGGTACCGTCATGGGTACCGCCTGACTCGAGAAAAATTTTAAGAACCTGATTTTTGAATTGTCAAATCCTATTTTTTATTTCAATCAATTATAATCCATATTAATATGATTTCTCGAAATAAATATGGTGTTTTGATCAATTCAAGAAAACTTGTTTGATGCATGACAGTAAGCTAGAGTATTAATACTCGACGCTAGGTTGCTATGTAACACCCCAACCCGCGTGACCCGAATACAAGGATCAGCGGATTGGGTTGCTACCAAATTGGTACTTAAACACACTTATTTCCAAAACAATTTAAAATATTTAATTCAAAACAATATTTAAACATCCATCAGAGTTAGCAAAACGGTGCGGAAGCCTTTAAGTACTTATACAACTTTGGGTTCTTGCCCTTAAAAGATAATAAATTTAAATGCAATAATAAATAAACTAGATAACTCCTCCAGCTAGCATCCATCCATCATCTCATCCGCTCTGCCTTCCAGGATAGCTCCTTATTCATCATTCTTGTTACCTACGTGTAGCAAATAGGAAAAAGGGCTACATGCTCGGCATTGAAGCTGAGTGGAATCTATCTAACGTTTCGACTACGCACATAGACGAACCCACTAGCTCATAACTTCATACAATATCATGCACACAAGTTCAACATTTATAACATCAAGAATATAAATGATTCATGCAACATATTACTTACCTCAATTCTTCAGCTGCATAATTTATAAATTCAACATTCAAGTTCTTACAATAGCTCATATCAAATACTAGCTCATAACCTATACTAGGCTAAGGCCAATTCCTCATTATCCACATTCTTATCTTAGGACTTAGAGCCACTACCTACGGCCATGACTCAAAGTCTACTCTATGACCTCAGAACCACTACCTACGGCCATGATTCAGGTCAACCCGGTACCTACGGCGCCGGTTGGGTGGAACCTCCAATCCTACAGATCAGATCCCAGATTCCATGTACGTACATCTTTACCCGAATGCCACTGGACTAAGTCCACAAGGCTCTACACCTATTGTTAATTCACAATCTCAATTCTCACAAAATAGTCCTAGAGTTCTTCTAGGTAACCTACGTCATTCACTTACTTTAATTAATCAGATCCAAGCTAAGAATAACCTCAATTTACTTTATCCGTTTAAGGCATATCACATTATATCCATAATAAATCAAGAGAGTAGACATAGCTAAATAAATCATCATGCAATCCAAATAGCGGCCTAATGTCGGGTGTAAAATCCTTCCATTTACCGTCATGCAACACATAAGGGCTCAGAGTCAATTCGGGTTCTAAATCAGATCAAACAAACAAATAACGAGATTCCTAGTGTTGGTACGGTACCCGTCACGGTACCTAGGTACCGCCAGGCGGTACTTGGGTACCGTCGGCACGGTACTAGTGTACCGTCGGGCTTCAGCAATCGGCAGTAGTGCAGCTCACGGGATTGGGGTACGGTACCTCGGTACTGTTCGATCGGTACCTTGTTACCGTCTGGTTCGTTTTACCTTACAGTATGTCGGGAATTCCAACAGAGATAAAGCATGTTTCCTTGATTCATTGATTAACAATAATTTAACATACGTAGGGCTAATGATACATGTAACCACGTAATTAGGGGTAGAGAACGTACCTCGTTCTCCATCGATTCATCAATTTCAATAAATCATAATTTAGAATCATAATTCAATTAATAACCATTAAGCCACGTAATCAATCATACGAAACTACGAACGTGAATTTCAAATCTATATACATAATCTAGCGTTAGATGTGCAAGTTCTGACCTCGATAATTAGACGAATTAAACTAATCACAATCGAATTAAGACGGCAAACTCGGAGGCGGCAATCTGTTTCTGGCGAACGACTAAGCAGCACCGCTGGAGCAGCAGCGGCTGTGTTCGGTTCCCTCTCTTCCGGCGCGACACATACTCCGTAGATTTTCTCGTTTTTCTTTTCTTTTTTTTTTCCAATAGTTGCTCTGTTCCGGTTCGTAGCGTGTGGAACAGAGAAGAAGGAGACTATCATGCGCTACGAAGATAACATCGTATAAATAATACCCTGATGGGCTTGTTTCCCATTCGAACTAGGACTCAAACTACCCGTACATTCCTTTTTGTTTACCATATTACTCCCTCCGTCCCAGAGTATTTGTCCACTTTCATTTTTACACACCATTCAATACACTTCTTTAATCCATTTTATCTTGTAATTTGTATATTAAAAAATTATAGAAATTATATATTAATAATCTATATGTTAAGACAAATCAAACAAGATCACACATGACTATATTTAGGCTTACACATTGAGAGAATTTGATGAGTCAAAGTGCTTAGATGAACAGTTTCAAAAGTCAAAAGTGGACGAATATAGCGGGACGGAGGAAGTATAATATTATAATATTTTATTATAAAATTCTTTANCCGTCCCAGAGTATTTGTCCACTTTCATTTTTACACACCATTCAATACACTTCTTTAATCCATTTTATCTTGTAATTTGTATATTAAAAAATTATAGAAATTATATATTAATAATCTATATGTTAAGACAAATCAAACAAGATCACACATGACTATATTTAGGCTTACACATTGAGAGAATTTGATGAGTCAAAGTGCTTAGATGAACAGTTTCAAAAGTCAAAAGTGGACGAATATAGCGGGACGGAGGAAGTATAATATTATAATATTTTATTATAAAATTCTTTATATTTATTTATTGAACTGTAACGTCTATTCTTCTCACCACGCTTTATGCGTATGTGCAAATTTAATAAACTATATGTCGTTGGTCACCATTTTATGAGATCTACCCGAAAACCCAATTTTCATATAAAACGGATAACTTTACAAATAATTCATATTTTAGAGTAAATAAATTCAATATTTATTTTTATTAAAATAACGGCTAACTACTAAGCCGGTTTTTGGGTCGTTACATGCTATTTGTTATTTAATAATACGATGATTGGTTGACTGTGATTATGAGGAATATTTTAGATAAAATGATGATTATAAGTTGTTGAACTAAGATTCAAAGTAAATCTGTAAATGGATTGATGAAAAATGAATGGTATTGCTAAGACTATCTATAAGACTTCTAAGATAGACCTTAGATTAGCATGGGCCTTGCGGGTATAAATATGTATATTCAGTGGCCTTGGGTAAAAGCGTACATACGGGGTTCATAAACCAAACTTGAGGATCACTCATTTGGGGATACACCCAACGTGACAGTGATTATTCCGTTGTTCTGTTTTCTAGATTGTACCTTAAGCGAAGGCTAGTTTAAGAGTTGGAAAATCTTTTGGAAAATATGTACCTTAAACTATGATCTATCTTAAGAGTTGGTTAGAAGTACCTTAAACTAGAATTAGTTTAAGAGTTGGTAAATAATATAAAGATTGGCCTTAGACTATTGTTGAAGATGAATGTTAAATATTGAGTGATGCATATTGAATATTATATGTATGATATCAAATAAATTGCTTATGAATTGAAATTCAATCTATATATATGTTCGACGCTTTAGATATGCTTACTCAGCTTCCCTGCTGAGTATGTAGTGTGTATTATTTGCTACACGCAGGTAGATAGAATGAAGGAATGGCATATTCCTGGCAGCGGATGGGACAAGACAGTGGTGGTGGATTGATGAATAAAATAAATAACTGTGTTGTTATGAGACATGGTTTTAATCCGCTTCCTCATTATTAAATACTCTGTATTTTTCTATAGTTATGTAATGAATATTAATTATGATGAATAAATATGTTTGAAATGTTTTAAATTATACGATTAACAAGTTAATACTTTAGTACAAAAGGGGTTGTAGACCTGGACGGATTAGGGTGTTACACCATAACAAAATTAAAGAGGGAAAAATATTAATCTGCTTACCTTCCCGATGTTCCGGGTAGCAGAATGGACGAGGTCAAAATCCTCCCTAGCAGCGAGCGATACATTATATACATATGACACTGCCACCTTAAGAGTCACTGGATAGGGGAGCTCCCCCTTCAGCAGGGATTTCTCAAGGGAAAGAGAGAGCTAAATGGTCTCCACCCCCAACTCCAAGTCTATCTGCAGTCGTGGAAGGAGGGGGTTGACAAGAGAGTTGGGGAATCTAGGATATAAAGATAGTAGTATTTAGGGCAAGTTCAAACATCAAATGTCAACTTTAACTACTCCCTCCGTCCCAAAGTATTTGCCACATTTAATTTCCTTTTTCAACCATCACGGAAACTTTTAATTTGTTTATTTGTACGTTTTCAATGAATATTTGATAAAATAAAATATTCTTGACACATCTTATTTTAAAGAATTTTTCATATAGTTTTTAAATATGTAAATTTTATTTTTTTATTTCTAGACCAATATTTAAATAAAATGTATTGAAAAAATTTGATATTTTGCGTCATTTTTCAAAATATGGTAAATATTTACACCAAGCTGACATGGCTAAAATTTGTAAACCAAGTTTAGATTTGAAAGCTGGGTTTTTAGATTTGACCAAAAAAGTCAAAACATGAAAACATTTTAGGACCAGAGAGATCAAAACATTATTCCGCCTCTTGAAATTATTTTTTTATTTCCCTTGTCAATCTTTATAATTTTATATATGTATTTTATGTACGGAGCATCATTTCTCAAATAAGACATTTTAAAAATTTAATTAAAGTTGTGTGAAAGTACTACGGGTGGGCACGGTCCGTGATGGTCCGTGATACCACCGGAACCTATCACGAACTGCTATTATTTAAACGGTTTGGTATCGGTACGGGATGAACTCCAAAACCATTCAGTACCATTCTGTTTTGAAACGGAACGATACAATACCATACTCATGCTCAAACCGTGCCAAAAAAATGAACCTACATTACTTAAAGAATATTGAATTTAATGTATAAGTTTTTATAAAAAAGCACAAGAATGTTAAATAAAAGTATTGATTTCAAATTTAAACGGATCATAAACATAAAGAATAGAAGATAACGAGTCCAAAGTTAAAAAATAATTTTTTCAATTCAAATAATATCGGAATACTAATAACTATAAAAAATAATGCCAATAGTAATAATAAATATAATAACAACAATAATAATGAGAGAGTTTTAAAATGAATAATAAAATACGAAGTACTCTAGATACTGTAAGATGAAGTAGATAAATACTCCATAATTTTTTGAGATATGTACCCCGTATATAGCGTTGGATAGTTAGGTCCGTGATAATCGATTTTAAATATTTATATCACGGTTCCGTCCCATTTGGTATCGGTTCGTGATGAAAAAAATCAATCCCATTTTAAAACACTATAAACGGTTCGGTACCATTACGGTCCGATATGGTACCATGCTGATAAGTCACAAAATGTCATATTTTTTTCCCTCATTTCTTAACACTTTTAAGATGTTTTATATGCATTTTATACCTAAATAATCATATTTTGTTCTTTTTAGCACTTTAGACTACTGTTTATATTTTATACATAAAATGCATGATTTTGAGCATATTTATAAATGACAATTATTTTGGAAGTATTATTTTACTTGACACAATTTTTAGATATATTTTGGAGTACAAAAATGTTGAAAAAAAATAAAGAAGATGGATTTTTGGAGCTCAAAAGAAAAGGAAGAAAAGGATTGGGCCAAGCCCAATCATCCAATGATAAAGCAAGTGACAAAGAAGATCAAAACAAAAAAAGACGGAAGAAATGGAGAAGTCCTTCGCCAACAGGAGAAGACTAGCGGAAGAAACGGATCTACTCCTATTCGATTAAACCTCTTCAAAACTTTTAATATAAAAGGGAGACAAAAGTCACACAATCAGGGGGGGACCAAGAGGAAAAGAAAACCGAATCCCGACGACGGACGTGGTATAGTGCAGCAACAACGAGGAAGCATATTCCAGGGAACAACTTTTTCCCTTCCTAATCTTATTTTGTTTTATGAGGATTTTAGATTTTGTTAATTTGAATTCCAAATTGATGAGTTTGATATCCAGTATTAAATATGTTCATGTTTATTTTCAAATCTTATTTTTGTTTTGAATGTTTAAGTTATACTCCCTCCGTCCCAAAAAGAATGGGAAATGGGGTAGTTTGACTTTTTGGGAAATTAAGGGAGGAATATTTTGGTATTGACTTTCCAAAAATACCCTTGATATGATGGGTAAAAGTAGGATGTAATGGGTAGATTATTAAGAAAAAGGTATGATGTGATAGGTAGGGTATAAAAAAGTAAGGGGTAAAAGTGGTTTTTTAATAGAAATGTAAAGGACTTTACGGGACGCAATTTTTTCAAAACGTAACAAACTTTTTGGGACGGAGGGAGTATTATAAGTGTTGAATTGTTTGAGTGTTGATGTTTTATTGTTTAAGTTATGATTTATTGATTGATTATTGTCTCTGAAATTATAAAACCTTCTTAGGCCGAATTGTTTGATAAAAGAGATTGAATCTTTGATTTGGTTGTTTTTATTGAATCAATTTGACTTTAAAGAGATTTTAGCTCTATGCTATTGTTAAATCTAAACTCAAAGAGGTGTTCTGAGAACTATTATTCAACAGATTTTACTTAAATTGGACCAAATTAGGATTGCGACCTAATCCAGTTTAAAATGATATACTTTTAAAGTCCAAAGTGCTTTTAATAGCTGAACTTTTCTAGAAACCAAGTGTCACTTGATTAGTACTCCCTCCGTCCGAAAATATTCTTCCTACTTTCCTTTTTGGTCCGTCCGGAAATATTCTTTCCATTTCCCTTTTTAGTATACTTTTTAAGGATAAATATCAATAATACCCTTCTATTTTATCACAAATCTACTTTTTTTAATACTTTTTTAATAATAAAAGGAGATTTAAAAGTTTATAGTATGTGGATTTTTGAAAATTTTGCATTTTTTTTACTATTCCTTAATAAGCGTGCCAAGTCAACACGGGAAGAATATTTCCGGACGGAGGGAGTACTTGCTGCCTCGTTAAGTAGTTTTTGCTAATCAAGGTTCTCGAACTGATTTTGTTAAATAACCGTAGTGTTACTGCAAGATTGTTATGGTGATGTTTTCCAAAGATTTTAATGCGCTATTCTTAGTAGTAACTTAAGGGTTGGTCTTTGGGTTGCTAAGGATAGTAGGGTTTAGAGTTAGGGTTTGTCTTAACATGAGCTAATATGAATGGGATAATAGGGAAGAGCCGTTGGTGGACCTCTTCTTTAGCCTAACCCTGAGTTTAATTAGCAGTTTAATTTTAGAACCAAGGCATAATTAATTATTTAATCAGATTTGTTCAGTTTATTTTCTATTAAAAACTATAAGTATTTTCAAAATCGTTTAAGTTAATTATTACTGTCTACGTTTTTATAAAGTTTAAATGTGTGTTTGTTTGTGTGTTTGTTTCTCCCTGAGTGTCTTCTGAGTTCGAGTTGCTGCTGTGGTTCCATCTCTAGACTGTTATCCTTATCTTTATTTTATTTGCATTTTTGTTTTTTTAGAATTATCATTCAAACTCCCCCATATCCTTTAGTTTTAGTTTTTAGATTTTAGTTAGTTGTTTTTATTCAATAAAAGTGACGAAGTAAATTGATTTTCATAACGATAAAAAGTATCTTTCCTCGTGGGATTGACCCTTACTTACCCTATCTATATGTTTTAATGAATATTAATTCATAAAGGGAGATTTAAGTTAAGGAAAATAATAAATTAATTTGTAGGTGTTACGACACGCCTATCACATGCTAGTTCGGTTTTTTTGCCCACCCATATGTGAAACCATGTTAACGTTGAAGTTGTAGAATATTACTCCATATTTATAGAAGTTTTTAAAAATTTGGTGTGTTTAAACTTTTGATATAGCGGTGTTAAAATTATTTTTTTTGGTTTTATTATTGCAACTACCCTAATAGTTAATACTCCCTACGTCCCTCATAGATCTTCTCAATAGTCCTTTTTCTTTGTCCACAATAGATCTTCTCATTTCATTTTTTAACAATTAAAATATCATAACTACTCCCACTTACTTTATTTATTACACCTCACTCACCTCATTTAATACACTCCACCCATATTTCATTAAGGGTATTATGATAAACTTTTACCTTTTTTCAACTTTCTTTAAAAACTACCAAAAGTCAAAATGAGAACATCTTAGAGGGACGGAGGGAGTACAATGTACTCCCGAGTCCCAACATCCAATAGTCCAATAGTCCAAGTACATTGGACCTGTTTATTGTGTTCTGGGTTCAATTCTCATTGCAATCAAGGATATCTTTAATTTTGTTATTCTTATTTATACCAATTAATTTTCGTTCATATTATCTCCCGAGAGATATCAAAACAGCCTTTTAAACATATGTATATATACGGAGTACTATATATATATATATATATATAGGGGTTGGTTCTTGTGAGAATGATACTTGGTGAAAGAAATAAGAATAAAAGATATACATTGATCTAGTAAATCTAACGCTCTCATTTATGCAAAAAGAAGTAATTGGGATTGACTATATTGAATGTGGCGTGCCATTTTAATGATAAATGTATTTAAAAAGGGCAAATTAGGAATACAAATGACCTCATCATCCACATTTTTAGCCTAGTACTCCGTATTACTCCGTATTTTTTTCCCAATTAAATGACCTTATCATTTCAATTAAAGTGATTAATTGTCAAGCCACAATATCATGGTGTTTCCGACTCCACTTCATTTCCATAAAAATGATGATGATTATTATTACTGTTATTATTGTTGTTGTTGTTACTATTATTATTATGTTAGAAGATTAATTTAATTTTAATAAATTATTCTACTACACTTTATTTTATATAGAATATTTTGTACACAAGTCTGTTTTTTTAAAAAATAGCGTTGAAAATCTCTTGTATATATTATTTCAATGACACCAATATGGAACATAGAATTTTAAAAATAATAATCTTTTCATATTTCTAATTAAAAAAGTAAAATTTGAATATATATTTTAATTTTTTTTAAAAATCTATGCACTGTGATGATTGATATATGCACTTTGATTTGTTCTTAAAGATCTTATTTAAATTTTATTCTTTTAATTTGTGGATTAGTGAATAATCAATCCTAAGTGATTTTGAATGTGATGAAAAAGTTTTAGAATGCGTTGTATTCAAAACAAGTGTTAAAAAAGTTGGACAAATATTTTGCCTATGGGGGATTCGAACCCACACCCGTAGTACATACTGTTCTGCCATTTGAGCTAATATGCAACATAAAATCTTATAAAAAAACTCCATCTTGCATTTTGAGCTATTAAATATACATTTTAATCTATTAAAATTTACATCATACAACATGTTTCAAACTCTTATTCAAATGTATCACATAACATTTGAAATGCATCAAGATTTGCAAAAATTTTCACCTTTATTTTGAAAATGCACAATAACAGAATGCATTATACTTTATCATTCTAAAAATGTAATATCTACTCTAGGAATGCATTACTTTGATCCCGATAATGCACAATACGTAAACCAATACAAATTTTGTTTATTAAGCTTTAACAACAAATTCCATCTCGAATATATAGTTACACCACACTTTTGTTGCATGATCAAAAAGAAAATCAACATACAAAGTGTTTCTAGTGTGCATTTTATAATTTATAACAAAAATTGCATTATAAGACACTCTTACCAAGTGTGAATTGAAGTATTGTAATTTGTATGGAAAATATAACATATACACAATAGATTAAAGTATATAATATCAAAGTGAAGAATCAACTATAAAAAAATAACATTGGACATAGACTCGCCATGATTCAAATACAATAAGGAGAGAAATGACCCAAAGTCGGAAATGCATCATATTCATGTCAGAAGAATTTTTCAATGTGATGCATCAACTTTGATACCAAGAATGTATAGTAACAGAATACATTATTTTTTACTTTAATTTACAAAATGCATTGCATTCTCATGTAAATATATTACCCTAATTCTAATTATGCACTATATATATAATAGAAAGAAAAAAAACAAAAAGTAAAAAAGAAAACCTTGATCACTACAAAATACTACGTAGTAAACAAAAAAATAGCCCGAATTCATATAACAATTTTTAAATGTATCACAGTGCAAAATAGCTAAACAAAAAAGAAGTAAAATCCAAAAACTCATAAAAGCACTATCCCCAATTCATACTCCTATTTCAGATTTTATACACCTTGTAATTTATTTTTGCAGATTAATTTCAATCTACGCATTCTAAATAAAATACCATCCCCAAAACCTAAATTCAAACACCTTGTAAGTTCTTTTACAAATAAAAAGGCAAAAATAAATGTAAAACTAAAATGATAACAACAAAATCAACATTGAAATCTCTAATACTCCATCCGTACTATAATGTTCTTCTCGGTTCATTTTACTAGGTTTGACCGACTTTATTTTCAATTCAATTTATTTGATTGTAGGTGTAAAATTAAAAAATAAAATTTATATATTTAAAAACTACATCAAAAGTTATACAAAACAAGTGGTGACAAGACTATATTATTTTATCAAATACCTAATGAAAATAGGTAAAGAAAGTGATTAAAGTTTGACCGGGTAAAAAGTGAGTGGGAAGAACATTTTAGGACGGAGGGAGTAACATGTAATTTAAAAAAGAAAAAAAATCTGCATACCTTATCTCCATTGGAACACCGCACAGAGAGATAGTTGCAGGAAAATATGTAAATTCATCTAAGATGATTCCATATCAAAATATTATTAAGGAAAGTATCACCACAGAGGGGGAATAGCGATCATCGAAAAATTGGAGAGAAGATTGTGGTCAAAATTTATCGGAATAATTGGAATGAGATATAAGACTGTATTTCTGAAATTTCTATAAGGCCCTTAAAACTCAACGATTAATGAAGTAGATCAAACGGTTGTAAAGCTTTCTTATTTCTCTCATAAGATCTTATTCTCACCTGATCCAAGATATATATATATATATATATATATATATATATATATATATATATATATATATATATATATATATATATATATATATAGGGATTGACTCTAGTCAGATGACACCTTACGGTGAGATGACATGCTACGGTCAGATGACGCAAAGCTCACCACTGGCCAATGCAAAGCTCACCAAATACAACTACAAAACTCATGCAAAGCTCACCATATTTTTCTAACACTTTGAATTTTTTTTGAAAAAAAAATCAAAGGAATTGGTGCTGGCTAGACTATGACCATTGACCGTTGACCATCACCGCCGCCAACCTCCGCCAGCCGCCGGCAACCACCGCCGCCGCCGGCAGCCGGCGACCACCGCCGGCGACCACCTCCTCCGCCGCCGCCGCTGGCGACCACCTTAGCCTCCGCCGGTCTTCGCCGCCGCGCTGCCGCCACTGACCGGTGGTTGACCAGTGTTGCTATTTTATTTTTTATTAATTTTTTAATTTTTTCAAAATAAAAAAAAGGTGAGTTTTTGTGTTCAAAGTGGTGAGCTTTGCCTTATTTCCAGGTGAGCTTTACATTGGCCATTGGTGAGCTTTGCAATGTAATGTGGTGAGCTTTGCATCATCTCACCAAAGCATGTCATCTCACCATAAAGTGTAATCTCACTGGAGTCAATCTTATATATATATATATATATATATATATATATATATATACATATATATATATACATGTATATATATATATATATATATATATATATATATATATAATGCCCCCATTAATGTGACATTGAACTTCAATATTATAGCATGACCCAGAACATCTACTGTGCTTCGTTCGAAAATTGATAGTTCGTACCCTTCTAACCCCCATGCTTCCATCCCCTTTGGTGATTGCCTAGCATAATTATTGTAGTCAATAGGCAGGGGGGAATTAGAGGGGATAAAAACTATCTACTTTTTAAATAGACTAGGTAAGTGCCCAGTCTTGATATGACATTGGATACAATTGTCACATGAACTAGACCAATATATTTAACATAGGAAGTACTCCCTCCATCCCTGAGTGTTTGTCTATACTTTCATTTTTGCACAACATCCAATGCACTTTTTTAATCCATTTTATCTTGTAATTTGTATATTAAAAAATTATAAAAATTATATATTAATAATCTATATGTTAAGACGAATCAAACAAGATACTATTTTTAGGCTTACAGATTGAGAGAATTTGATGAGTCAAAATGCTTAGATGAACAATTCCAAAAGTCAAAAGTGGACAAACACTCAAGGACAGACCAAGTATTAAACATTTTGCACTCCCTTCTCGTGGTTTAAGTTTTGCACAGGAGATATCACCTCCACCGAAATTGAGTATAAACCCACTCTGAACAGCCTCAAAATAACAACTTAAGCGTCATTTTAAATAAATTTGGAATGAGAAATTGACTTTTTGGAACAGGGAGAGAAGTTACGACGACCACCATTGGTAGTATATTTTGTTCAAGGGACATGATTAGCAGTGTACACAAAACCAAAGGCCGATTCCACATTTAATTTGTTTGTGAAATTGACCTTTGGCTGCCATTGGAATTCTCTATTCAAGAATCGTGATGGATTGTCGCTTGCGGCTTGTCCCGTCTCAAGCATCGAGATGATGCTAGTCCTGTTGGTACTGCTCTACTAAGGATATTCAGTTACGAAGTTTAGTCACATTTTCTCATCTTACAAGAAACCCATATTTTTTTTTATTCGGCTTTGATCCTCCTATTAACTTCTTGGAACTTGGAAATCCCATTTTCCCCAAGTTGAAGAAATTCGGATTCCAAAGTTTCAGCTACCTTTGTGGTATCAGGATCATGTTCAGGGATTGCAACATGAAACGACCCTTCTTTCGTTAGTGTGTCACGCTCCACAAGCTCTGCTTGCTGTTTAATGTAAGTGTAAAGCTGCTGATGGAAGTCATTGTCCAAGGAGAAACAGTCATCAATTGTACCCTTCTTACAATGCTTAGAAGACCCAGAGCCCTCTCTTTTGCAAAAATGAGGGAGAGATGAATAATCCATAATCTGAAATCAAGTTCATAATTAGACAACAACAACAACAATAATAATAATTATTATAATAATAATCCGTAATAATGGTGGTGATAATAATAGTAATAATAATACGGAGTAATAATAATGGAAGGAGCTGCATACTTTCAAAAGCTCATCCCTTCCTGACCCTGATAAGACTTGAACTTTCTTTCTAGTTCTTTCTTTCAAAAGTGGCCGCACAACCTGCACGGATATAATGCATTATCTCATGAAGCAATACAAGTCCTAGTATTTCTTGAAACTTTTACATGTAAAGCCAAACCTTCCAGCACGATGAAAATATGTATGGTGCATTAACAATGTAATATGTTTCAGTCTTTTCGGGATAATTAAGGTCATCAATGGTAGAAATATCAGTCAATAGCTGAAAACAAATACAAAAAAAATGCTTAGACAAGGCTTTAAATAATCACAAAGTAGTTTTACGGCCCCAGGAAATAAAGAAAGAACAGAAAAGGTAACCGAAAAAAACCTTAATTTGACTTAGAGCAGAGAGCTTAAGCCCAGTCATGTCCAATATCTTTACACATGTACCAATATAGTGCCCATACATTTTAGTTGCAGAGGGCTAGAAAATAACAACAAATTAGTTTATATGAAAATAAACTCTTGCATTTATAAAATACACATCAATATAAATTAGCACTGACCAATATCACTCGGTCACGGTATTCATTCATTTGGATGTGTGATTGAACATAGTAGTGAACCTTAATGAAGAAAAAATAATAGAATGACTTCATTTGGAGAGGAAACTAAAGAGCAGACGAAGGAACAAATATTAAATTATTGTAGCAATAACATTTTTGAAACCCTTAGTCAAGAGGAATATATCAGGCAAGAAACAAAATCCTTACAGATGCTTTGTCAAATGTGCTGAGCCCCACACCAACAGCAATAACAGGTAGGCCCTGTAGGTTTCATGGAAAAGAAAGTATAGGTGGGATTCATGTTAGCATTATTAGTTGGTTGCAGCATACTTTTCATGATTTTCAGAAGACAGTAAACAGGTGTACAAGGCTACATCCATATGTTAATAACGAAATTCTTCCTAATTAGAATTGATAGAAGTACCTCTTTTGAGTATCCAGATATCCCTACAAGCTGAGATTCCCGAATTGCCCTGTACAACTCAGAAGGGATAATTGGCTTCTGCGAAAAGCAGAATTGAAGAATGAGAATGTATGGTTTTGTATATAACTTTAATCATCATTAATGACAAGGGGGAGAGGATTTTGGGAACGTGGACAAAACTACTATCAAATGTACAAGCAGATAACCTTATAATAGTCGAACAAGAACTTACAGCTAAAATATTATCAATATCATTTCGGATCCTCCAGTTCAAACAGTCAGTCAACTGTAAAATATAGAAGAGGTGAGAAAACATATATCTAAATCATTATTCTGCATATATGTTGTGAAATTCGCACAAGTTTACACCAAAAGTGAGCCATTGTACCGAAAGGAAAACATTTCAGGTAGTGAGGAGTCATGCGCGGTTTTTCTTGAAATCCAACTACCAGACTCTTATCATATTGTGCCTCAATTTTCCCATAAAATACAAAAAAAATAATAAGAACACTTAGACTTACGTGGTCCAGCAATTTTACAACTCCATCAGACACAACTATATGATATCCCACTATCCACGGATGTAGTTACAACTTGCGTAAAACCTTACAAATTAGATAAACTCTCTTAACTCAAATACTCATAAATAAAAAGCCTAAATGTACTAAGTAATGGAACGCTAAAAGCATAGCAGACCGAAGTGGGGAATGAAACTCTGAACTCACTCACTAAATTTCTCAAAATCAGTGATTAGAACAGCACCACAACTGCCCAGTATAATCCCTCGCATGTAGGGCTCGGGCAGGGTGAGTGTACGTAGACCTTGCCCCTACTCGAAAGTAGAGAGGTTGTTTCCAAAATGGTTGATTAGAATTGACACAAAAAACTCTTCTATTGATAGCAAATTGGCTAAGTTACTTTGAGAATAAAAAAGTTGGTCCACTGTAAGTGTAAGTTAAGAGTCCCACACCAAAATATTAGAGAAAAAATGATGAATTAACACTTAACACTATGATCTTGGGTTAAACTAGTTGATCCATGAGGTACAATTTTTGTTGGTCAAATGTCTAATAATTGAGTGACTCATAACTCAACCTTAAACCCTACCATGATATCAGGCAAGCTTTGATCCACTTCGTTTGTCAAATAGTCCGTCTAAAAGACCATCCATAGTGGGATTAGTGACCCATGAGTCTTTTGGACAGTTGTCTATCTTAGAAGTTCATTCCGAGCTGCTTGTGGCTCATTAACCAGGTTGTTCATCTAGATGTTCAATCCAATCCGCATGTGGACTTTAGGTGTTGCTGTTTTATTTTGATTTTTCATTTCCATTAGGTCCATTTATGAGTGGATAAGCGATAGATTCAAGTAGTCCGATTGGGTAATCAAGGTAGTGAAATTTAATAGAACACATATTTTAATGACAGAAAGCATAAAACTTTTATTGCACTGAAAGATAAAAGATATACATAGAGTAGAATGGAGTAAAAGAGAAGTGGGGATTGTTGTAAAACAAAAAAAGATGCAAACAGGGTCGACGAAATCTATGAGTCAGGTGTCCCACCCCAGAATGCAAGTTTTATTGATAGAGAGATTATTTCAAGGTACAAGAAGGGAAGTTGCTCGCAAAGTACTGATAAAACTTGATCCAATTTTCAGCCTTCCAATTCTCAGCCTTATTAGCATGCATATGTAGCTGTGCTCGATTCTTCAAGT